TAAACCAAAAATAAATTATTTCGTTATTAAACTTAAATTAAATTATAATTAAAAAAAATTATAGAAACTAAATAAAAAATGAGAACTTTTAAATATTTGATTTGATATTAACATTGATATATTTTGTTAAAAATTTATATTTTATTCAAAAATAAAATCATTGTTGCTTTCTTAAAAACACATAAAATCATATTATAACATCGATAGAGACAAATAATATAATAGAACATTAAAATCGAGATGTGTCTCGCTGCATTTCACAGAAAAAAACGATCCTCTATTTCTCGTTAGGGATCCTTGTGCCCCCAACAGTACGGGGATATGATCACATTCCCTAACAGGGTCGGAGATTATTCCCAAATTTGTGATGATTGATTTAGGAAGAAAATTAACGTTATTTTCGTTTTTTTTTCTTTAAAAACCCAAAAACACGACATTTTCCTCTTACTTCCTTTCTCTTTACCTTTTTTACTCGAAAACACATTACGTTAATGTTGGTGGATGGTTACGTTAATGGTAGCAATTGGTGGTGAGTTGGTGACAAATTGTTAATGGTGGATGTTGGTTGTTAATGGTTAGTGACCAACAACTTGGTTTACTTTTAAAGATGGTGATATTAATTATTTCTGGAAAAACATTAAACTATCAAGTGAATTTAATTCTAAAAAATAATTGGTTAAATCACAAATACGAAAACAAACAAAAATCCACATAATTGTCTCGATCATCGTTTACAGTTTAACATCAGTCAAAATCATAAGGTCTAGTGAAATCAAAAGTTTATCTTCCAAATGTGTCCTATTGAAATGCACATTTTAAAACACAAAATGAGAGTTAAACCATAAGGTCTAGTGAAATCAAAAGTTTATTGTTATTACAGAGTGAAAATCATTAAAACACTTTTATAAAACCGATATTTGTATTAATAACAAATAAACAGTTTTATTAAAACAAACCTCTTTGTCGCATCATATAGAGGAAACAACTTCATCTTATCGCATCATGACTCATTGAAGTCTCAAACTTATCGCATTAAATAAACAAATAATCAAGTTGTTGCATCTTACATGTAATACACCAACTTATCGCATCATACTAATGCCATAACTAATTAATTAATTAATTTACTCTAAATTATTATTAGCCATAATATTGTGTTAACTTTTATTAGATACTCTTTTATCTATTATTATTTATTTTGAAATATTTTAGCTATATCAATTATTGTTATTATTTATTTTTATTTTATTATTATTATTATTATTATTCAATATTTTAAACACAGAAAAAGAAAATAATCTCTAAAATTATAAGTCATATAAAGATTAAAATACTATTTTTTCTAGTCTGTAAATAAAAACTTTCGTATTTATATAATATGTTTAATCAATAGTTTATTTTAATTTTATATATCTATACTATATTATAAGGTATTTGACAAAAACTTTTAGACACTATTTTTTATGTGTAAAATATTGTTTATTAATGCATGTTACTTAAAACTCAAAAATACAAATAAATTGTGCGTAAGTACAATTTATTAAAGCTCCATATCTGAATTCGTGTAACTAACTAGAGATAAACATTATCAAATATAAGATAAACATGTCATTTTAAATATAAAAAATCTAAAATATAATTAGGATAAACATTGAATTCTAACAGAATACTTAATTATTATATTTATAAAATGTTATATTATTAAACCAAAAATAAATTATTTCATTATTAAACTTAAATTAATATAATAAAAAAATAAATTAAAGAAATTACATAAAAAATGAGTACTTTTAAATAGTTGATTTGATATTAACATTGATATATATTTTTTTTTCAAATTTTTATGATATCTTTAAATTTATATTTTATTCAAAAATAAAATCATTATTGTTTTTTAAAAGCACATAAAATCGTATGATAACATCGACAGAGACAAAAAAAGAATGAAAGAAAACATTAAAATCGAGATATGTCTCGCTACATTATGTGAGTATTATTCCAATAACATAAAAAATAACAAATTTTCTTATCATATCCTTTCAAGTCATTAATATTTGTTAGCTAATTTATTAATTAAATCGAAATAATAACAAAGTAAATTATTGAATTACAGAAAATCATAATTAGTATATTACCGGTCATGGCTTTCTACCATCTTCATTATGTTCCACCATATCACTTCCTAATAACAATTAACAAACGATCACATGAATTTAACTTAAATATTTAAATAAGTTATTGTAATTTTTATAATTGATATACTCTTAGTAGAATAATAATGTTTGAATTTGTGTAACTAACTGTGGATAAATATAATTAAATAGAGAATAAACATCTTATTTTAAAATATAAAAAATCTAAAATATAGTTAAGATAATCATAGAGTTCTAACAAAATAATTAATTATTATCTTTATAAAAAAATTATATTATTAAACCAAATATAAATTACTTCGTTATTTAACATGAATTAAATTAAAATAAAAAATTTGAATTAAAAATTACACAAAAAATGAGAAATTTTAAATAGTTAATTTGGTACTAATATCGATATATTTTTGTTAAATTTTTATGATATCTTCAAATTTATATTTTATTAAAAATAAAAAAAGATCATATTTTTTCAAAATCATATAAGATCATATTATAATATCGACTGAGATAAAAAATAAAATAAAATATTAAAATCAAAATGTATAATACCATTAATGACTTTGTGACGTTTGTAATTCATATTTTACAGATCTAACGAGTCATCCCTATCCTATTCTCATGGACAACGTGCAAAAGATGGACCACTCTTGTCTTTTATGAATTTAACTGGGCCCACTATTCAAAGTATCACCTTCAAATGATTAATTTTTATGTTTAAAAAAATGGAATATTTTTAATTTTAATAAATAAATTCACAAAAAAAAAACACATATTACAAGTAGATAAATATAAGGTATATTCTATCCGATTTTTTTTTTTTTAAATTTCAATAAATTCGTAGTTTTTGTTATTATAGGATCGATAAATTTGGGAGGATAATCAAGCATCAGTTGTGTCCGACACCGTGAGCTATGGCGAACGGTTTCGCCTCCATCAGCAATGGAGTACCAGATGAAGAATCGATTACGGCGCCGTTCCTCCGCCTCCGTCGCTCTACCTCCAACACCACCTCTCAGATTGCTATCGTCGGATCCAATCCTTGTCCAGTCGAAAGTCTCGACTATGAGTAAACTCTCTGCTTTCACTCTATGTTTCTTGTAGAAGCAACTGGATAATTGTTGGTTGTTTGCTTAGTAATTGAAGTAAGTAGGATTGTATCTGACATTTATGATCTGGATTTTAAGAAGTCGGAGACAGTTCTCGGTAGTACTGTTAGTGGATTCTGCTTGTTCCTATAACCGTCATCTGTTTCTCACGAACTCGAACTGACTATGATTTTATATTTTGGCTAATCAAATTTTCATCGGAAGTTGAAAGTTTTCATGTATTCCTAGATATCATGTTAGGTTAGCGTCTATTTATTTGTTGTTGCTGCTTTCCAGAGTTGAATTTATCGGTAAAACCGTACACACTGGTAATGTTTAAAAATTGCATGTATTGGAAATTGATCAATTGACTAGATTCGTTTATCGAAATCACGTCTATTCAATTGTGTATGATCGTAATTGGACTGAATTGACTGATGGCAGGATAAGTTTCTTGAAATCATGTCTATCAATTGTATCATCTTGTTTCGCTTTATGGCTGTTTTTCTGGGCTTAATTGTTTGGATTATAAACTCGATTTGTTACTCTATAGAATCTTCTTTAGTTTTGAATTATTTTGCAAAGTAACACTATGAGTAAGAGGGCTACTTGCATGACATTTGCTCTTCCTTTTGGAGTCTATCTATCACATTTGTATAGAAATAGAGGGATGAAGAACTTATGTCTTGCTATGCTAATTACTTCAATGGTTAAAATTGGAAATTTGCCAAGGTTTATAAGATCGAATTTGTTGCACTTAGAAACACCCTTCTCTTAAAAAAAGGGACAAACTTCAAGAGAAGAACATAAATCCAAATCTAAAAATAGAGCATCTATTATACCTTATAAACACTTACAGTCCAATTGTGATATGATAAATAATGTATGAAAAGGTATCTCAAGTGGTTGTTCAAAGCTATGCCCTTAGAACATCAAGTATTAGTCCAAACATAAAATAATGATGTTAAAGCATGCAGCACAACTTTTGGAAATAAACAATGCTTAAGACTCGAGGAAAAATAGTACTGTGTAAGTCAGCACCATTGTTTTTTAGCAATGCTATTTTAGGCCCACGCCAGGTATTTTAGACCCTATTTCTGAGCGGGATTTTCTTGTATGTTTAGTTTGGTTTGTGTCAGGTCTAAATGCTACATAGTACTCTGAATAATAAGCGCGATGAGCTGATACCAGCTAACCACTGATTTAGAGTCGGAACGTTGACATAAGGATGTGACAGCAGTCCTCCACTATTGTAAATTATAACCCATACAGATACTTTTTTCTGCATATACGTTTATGTGTTGAGTGGAAGCTTATAAGCCTGAAGGTATGGCCAAGTTACTATTTTCCTTGTGATAATTTCTATGGCCATTTAGTGGTAAGTGAGGCATGGTTTAGAATTTATTTGGAGAAGTTAAAAGCTTTTTTGCAAGTGATATGGCGGGATGGGTATTGTGCCATGGAGAAGATGACATATATTGGGGTCATAACATCTTCTTTTGCAAAAGTAGTTCCACAAGTTAAAACCAGCCAAACATATAGGGTGGAAGGAAATATTTCACTCTGTTCCAAGGTTCATTGTAGCAAACAATTCATTTCATATTAATGTCACTACATTCCTGTCAACCAAATGAAGCATTACAAGCTGACATACTAAGAGCAATACATGCTTTGACAAGTAATTTGCTGATTACTTGCCTTTTCTTTTCCTTTTTTTTTCTTAAGGATCATGGAGAATGATGTCTTCAAGCAAGATTGGCGCAGCAGAAGTAAGATCCAGATATTCCAGTACACATCTTTGAAATGGACCCTTTGTTTTCTTATTGGTATTCTTGTCAGTCTCATTGGCTTCTTCAATAACCTAGCCATTGAGAACATTGCTGGTGTGAAGTTTGTGGTCACCTCCAACATGATGCTGGCAAACAAGTTAGATTTGCTCTTATTAACTGCTTTTTAAAATGAAACTTCTGTTAATTGCAAGAATGCAAATGTATACTGTCAGTATATGTAAACAGCTGAACACCTACTCACTTCATAATTGGTAGAAAGTGGTTTTCTTGACTGAACGTCGAATGCTTTGTTGCAGCTACTTGGCAGCATTTCTCATATTTGCAGCTGCGAATTTAGGCCTTACCTTGTTTGCTTGTCTGATAACGACGCTTATAGCACCAGAGGCTGCTGGATCAGGCATACCTGAAGTTAAGGCTTACTTAAATGGTGTTGATGCTCCTGCCATATTCTCATTTAGAACATTGGTAATTAAGGTAAGGGGGATTGTTCATGCTAGACTTATTCTTCTTTCCTTTTTTCTTGTTCCTTCTTTATAACTTAGTGATGTTGTCTTATATGATGTTAAGTTTGACAAGAATCAAGGAATATCAAGTTCTTATTTAGTTCACATTGTGATTTAGTTAATTTGATTTTTAAATCTTGATATACTCATGTTTTTGGTATTTTCCTTTATCAAATGATTTAGAATGCAAATGCCTGGTAGATGCAGGAAATTGTTTGGTGCTAAAACTTATCTATTACTCAACCTAGAGACCGCTGGTTGTTTAATTTGCAGTTGGATGGAAGTGGTTGAAAAGATTGCATGAGGTTCTCATAATTGGACATTCATTACTCTTCTTATGCATGAATAAAGATGAAGAAAGTCCAAAATCCACCTTTCACAAAAAACTCTCACTTTTAACTCTATGCTTGCAACCTGTTAGATCACTTTATTTCTTTATCCAGTTCAGTCTTTATTCTTTGCTTTATATCTATCTTCTCAACTTCAAGTGATTCCTGATGTACTCTTATGTAAAGGGATTTTCCTAATCAACAAAAATGATGAGGTTATATTGTGATAACCAATTGGCTACTCACATAGTCAAAATCAAGTTTTTCATGAAAGAACCAAACCCATAGAAGTTGATTGTCGTCTTGTGAGAGACTGTATTGTGGGGAATCCTGCAGAACTTTCATCAATTCGACCCCTCATAATAAAATAAAAAATAATCAGTTAGCTACATCTGATAAACCACTATGGAAGCCTCAAATTGAACTTCATTAGTAACATGATTATTGATGTCCCCACTTGAAGAGGAATGTTAGATGCTGTATTTTATGCTTATCTCCTAGTCCTTGAGATAATCATGTAATCCATTATAAATACAGGATTTTCCCCATAATAATGTTATTAGGAAATTACCTGTATTTTTCCAGTGTGTATTTCTTCTGTTTATTATATTCATATATCAACTTATATTACAAATTTGAAATGGACTTGTCGACAGATAGTTGGCAGCATTGCTGCCGTGTCGTCGTCTCTTAATGTTGGCAAGGCAGGGCCCATGGTACATACTGGTGCGTGCATTGCAGCCCTAGCTTGTCAGGGTGGATCAGATAAATATAAGTTGACATGGAGATGGTTCAGATTTTTCAATAATGATAGAGATCGACGTGATCTTGTGACTTGTGGATCAGCGGCTGGAATTGCTGCTGCTTTTCGTGCCCCTGTTGGTGGTGTACTCTTTGCTCTTGAAGAAATGGCATCTTGGTAATGTTCATACAATTATGGAGGGATAATCTATGGTAACCATCAAAATTACTATCAAACTTACCACATTTGATTTTTCGGGAAACATGAATTGATGCACATTCTCTCTCTTCAAAAAGATGGTGAGTTTGATGGTAAACTGATGCTTGTTATAGATTTATGCCCCACATGCATTTGTACGTCATTTGTAATTTGTTATCGATCCTTCAGGTTAATAATCTGTACACATGTTAATATGAATCCTGGGGTGGGTGAGGGTCTACAGTTGCTATTTTCTTAAAGGCTGCCTCTTCAAATTTATTTTATCATCCAACTTATTGCCTGCTGTAAGAATGCTAAATGTCATTATACTTGAAAGAAAATCATGCAAATATCTTCATGCTGAAAAGAGTCTTATTTAATTTCTCCGTAGTTTATTGTCTGGAAGCCTGAAGTCATGGAATTATATACAAACAAAATTGTAGAAGATGAATTTTGAATGCACAGGTATATTTCAAACAACTATGCAGTGGCACTTGAGGAGCCCGAAAATTCCATGTATCAAAGCTGTTCAAGGCTTGCTAGATGCAACTCACTATCAAACAAACGATAAGAGTACAATATGAAAACCAATTATGTTACCAAATAATTTTACGGTTGTTTTGGTCAAATGGTACTATAGAAATATCTGAACACTTGCTTCTTCTGCAATCATTGTCCATGAAACTTCTTAGATTTATGTCTTTAGGCATTGCTCAAATGGGGATCTTCAATTGTGCTATGTTGGCTATCCTTCTCAGGCTCTTGATTGAATTGACTATGGATGCATCTTATTTCTAATGATGACAGTGATAAGCAACAATGCACCAACATGTGGCTGACGGATACCCATCCTTAAATTAAAATAACAGAGTCCTTGGAACAGCTTCTGTAAATGTTAAACGTTTTGTTTGTGTGTGTGTTATCCGGCAGGTGGAGAAGTGCCCTTTTGTGGAGAGCTTTCTTCTCAACCGCCATTGTTGCAATTTTGCTTCGGGGTCTGACTGATCTGTGCTTGAGTGGAAAATGTGGACTCTTTGGCACTGGGGGTTTGATAATGTATGATGTTACCTCGGTAAACATATCCTATCATTTAAAGGATGTACCTCCGGTTCTTCTTCTTGGAGTCATTGGAGGCATTGCAGGGAGTGTATACAATTGTCTATTGGGTAAAGTTCTCCGACTTTACAATCTAATCAATGAGTAAGCTCCCTCTTTTGCTTGCTGTCATCTGCACGTCTATTCTGCTTATTTGGTATATCAAGTGTATGGTACTATCTTTTGTAAATGTACTCCATGAAAAATTTCAATACTTTTCTTTTCTGTGGATGTCCTGTGAAATTTGCAACATTTTTTGTCTGAAAAGATCGCAAATTTATAAGTAATATTTTGCCTAAGATCATCCTAATCCTTTGATCGCATTTGTTTGGGCCTACATGGTTTCTTTATTTGTTTTGTTCGAAGGTATTCTAGATATTTGATAGCTGGTCAAACAGTTTACTTAAAACTATGTTATAAGTAGTTTGGGATCCTTACTCGTAAGAGGATTACGTATAACTCACTCTTCATTTCTGACTTTGCTACTTCAGGAAAGGCACTGCTTACAAAATACTCCTTGCTTGCTTGGTTTCCATCGTCACTTCCTGTCTCTTATTTGGTTTGCCATGGTTTGCAACTTGCCAACCGTGTCCAGTTGATGCATCTGAACCTTGTCCCACTATCGGTCGATCTGGCAACTACAAGAAGTTCCAATGTTCACCTGATCATTACAACGAACTAGCAAGTCTCTTCTTCAACACAAATGATGATGCAATTAAAAATCTCTTTAGCAAGGGCACCGACACCGAGTTCCACCCCACATCGGTTCTAATATTCTTTATCACCTGCTTTTTCCTCAGCATCTTCAGTTATGGCATCGTGGCTCCTGTGGGTCTCTTCATTCCTGTAATTGTGACCGGTGCATCTTATGGACGTCTTGTTGGGCTGTTAATCGGTTCAAACTCTAACCTTAACCATGGGCTATTTGCGGTCTTGGGTGCCGCTTCACTTCTTGGTGGATCGATGAGGATGACAGTTTCACTTTGTGTTATTCTCCTAGAATTGACCAACAACTTGCTCTTGCTACCACTTATAATGTTGGTTCTTCTTGTTTCCAAAACCGTGGCTGATGCTTTCAATGGAAATATTTACGACCAGATAATGAGCTTGAAGGGGTTTCCTTATTTAGAAACCCATGCTGAACCATATATGAGGCAGCTGACTGTTAGTGATGTTGTCTCAGGCCCACTTCGCGTATTCAACGGCATTGAGCTGGTTGCTAACATTGTACACGTTCTAAGAACGACAGGGCACAATGGGTTTCCGGTAGTGAACGAGCCACCACATTCTGAAGCACCAATTTTGTACGGTCTGATCCTCCGGTCCCATCTTATCACATTACTAAAGAAGAAAGCTTTCTTGCTTACTCCAACACCAACAGATGCGGATGCCATAAAGCATTTCTCAGCAAGTGATTTTGCAAAGCAGGGTCTGGGAACCGCGGAAGAGATTGAAGACATAGAACTGACAGAAGATGAGATGGAGATGTACATCGACTTGCATCATTTCACGAACGCTTCTCCCTATACTGTTGTCGAGACCATGTCATTAGCCAAGGCCCTTACACTTTTCAGGGGTGTCGGTTTAAGACACCTGCTAGTAGTCCCCAAGACTTCTGAGGTAAGAATGCTGTCCTACTTGATAGTGTTTTCCATTCCTTTGGTAAGAGTGCAAAAGTATAATACGGTTTCGTTTGTTTTTTAGTGCATTACCACTAATCTCACAGGGCCCTGAAGATATTGCAACAATTAATACTTGTATAAATACTAAAAGTGGTGGTTGTCTTGCAGAGACTCCCCGTGGTTGGGATATTAACAAGACATGATTTCATGCCGGAACATATCCTCGGTTTGCACCCAATGCTGGCAAAAAGTAAATGGAAAAGATTAAGATTCAAATTCCCTCTTTGGAACAAAATCTTTTAGTCCAACTCCTCCACATCAAACATCTAGCAGCAGTTCCAGTGAAGATGGTATTCATGATGAGGCCTTCCTTCTAAATCATGGTATATATGCACTTGCTCTTTCCTAACACACTCTTTTTCTTAGATTTCACCTTAATATTATTATATTTTTCATTCAAAGGAAATAACTTATCAGTCCTCGTATATTAGAGTCATATTCGTTGATTCTTGGTTGCATCTACGTGTTTCTACATTCCTACCCCTGATCCTGTGTAACGAGTAAGTCAAATCTCTCATAGTGTGTTCCTCTATAAATGATATGAGAAATGAAATAAATATGGAAAACCATCGACACTAAATCTTGCACCAAATTTGGTGTAAAGAATAGTAGTATATCAAATCTGGTGCAACATTGTTTGTTTACGCCAAATTTTATACCAGTAAGAAAAGATAAAAAAGAATATACCTAGAATCTTACATTTTGGTCTAAGATTTGATGTTACCTGTTGGAGTAGATTTATTGTTTGTACCAAATTTTATATTATTTTTTATAGATTTGGTGTTACCCATTAGAGATAGGCATGGGATGGGAATGGGGCGGGGACCTCAATCCTTGTCCCCGTCATTGATCACTGATCTCTATCCCCATCCCCATCCCCATCCCTTCCGGGGAATATAATCGCATCCCCGTTCCCATCCCTAATGGGGACAGGGATCCACAATGGGGAAACGGAGACTTTTTTTCCGGTTTATGTAAGTTATTTTAAAGTAAATATGTAAGAGATTATACATGTTTAAATCTCAAACGTTTAAAGTAACTTGCAATATAAATCTTGTAAGAGACCTTACATTTTTTGTCATTCACTAATGCATCATTATAGTAGTAGTACATTAAAACAATACATAATAGAATGTGAACTCTTTTTTGAATTATGTCTGGTTGGTTATGGAATTAGGGATGACTTCATTTGTTAACCCAATATATCGTGTTAATTTTGTAAATCAATCCTAGCTTTTAATCTTTGCAATTTATGGATAAAATTCATCATGGAATTTTTGTAACAAATTAAAAAATGGTGCTTAATAAACATAGGTGAACAATCGTGAATAAAGAGTAATTTTGGAAAAAAGTAGAGTGGTTTCGTTTAGCATTAATTACCTTTTCGGTAATTACTCCATCGTTTTGAAACTGACATCAAGCTTTAATTATTCCTTCATTTATTATATGTAATGTGTAACTTGTGAATGATGTGAATTAATGAACAATTGTTATATATAAATAGCTTATGAACATTGTTCATTAATGAAAAATATAACATATATGAAAATGTTCATTACCTAACACATACCTGAATGTATAGGTATGTGTGATTGGTGAAATAAATAAGGAACAATGTAACTTTATCATAATATGTTAAACACACATATAAATTTTATTTGTGAAGGACATCCATCATAATATGTTAAACACATATACAAATTTGAAAAGAGTCAAATTTTAGAAACAATGTAACTCTCATATTTTATAAACATATTCTTATTAATTTGTCCACACTTATTAAATATTTAATAAACTATTAATCATGAATCAATTTGAATTCTTATTGGATTATTTTGGTTTGTATAATTAACACAAAAGGTAAGATTAACAAAAGATGATGTCCCTGTGAAACTAATGGTACATGAGATTTATCTTCATAACTCTCTTCCAATGAAAATAAAGCAATGTTTTTATGTTAGTGCATTGTGTACTACGTTTCTTCTATGTCCAACTTCATTTGAATAGTGATAGCTAAAAACCGGTCTCAGGCTGGGCCTAATCGGTCCTAAACTTTCTCATAACCGGTCTCGGTCGAAAATGGTAGGACTGGTCAAGGTACTTTATAACCGGTTATGGGCCACCGATCTCGGTCCCAACTGGTCCCGACATTAAAAAATAAGATTTAAAAAGAATTAATGATGTATGTATTTTTAATACATTATAAAATTTATAATTGGGTCACTCAAATATACTTTAAAAATACGTTTTAATATAATTAAAATTACATTATCATATAGTAATACATTATAAAATTATTTAAAAATACATTTATTTATAAAATTATTTGAATTTTCGGGCTAGGCCAGTTCATAGCCGGTTCCGGTTCCACAAAACTACCAAAAACTTCAATTGGTCCCGATATTCGGTCCTTATCGGTCCCGGGCCGGTCCTTTGCCGGTCTCGGTCCCGATCCTTTGGCGGTCCCAAGCCGGGCCGGGTCGATTTGGCCATCATCATTTAAAAATGACATAAATTCCCATGGTATGAAATGTCAAATCTATAAAGTCTTATAAAAGCACCAGGTATGTTAATTTTATATATTTTTACTTTTCCATTTTATGTAACCAACCGACATAATTCAGAAAATTTTACAGTCTATTAAATGAATTACTATTAAAGGAAGGCTAATTTCAATCATTTAGTTTCTTTTTCTTGTTTTTGGTGTTGTTTTGTCTTTTTATCTTTTTAATATTATAAATATATTATATTATATAATATTATTATATTTTCTTAGATGTTAATTAATAGATATTGTATTTTTTTTTATAGTTATTCAATTTAACTGTGAATAAATTATATCAAAAATATAATTTCCTGATAATTACATAACTTATGAATAAATTAAAAAAATTGTAAATAATTGTGAATTACATGAGATTAAATAATAATTTTTTTCACATTTATTATTTTAACTTTTTTATTTTAAGTAAACATAATTTTTTTAATTGTATCATTTTTAAAATATTAAAATAACCAAAGAAATTTGAATTTTTACTTTATAAAAAATAATTACATCTCTAAACTCATTTATATTATAACGTCGTTTAGCACTAATATTGTAAGTAGTCAAAACGGTTTAGAATTTTAGTTAATTGTTTTTATTATCTATACTATAATATATAATATTTGACAAAAACTTTTAAAAACCATTTTTTATGCATGAAGTACTGTTTATTGATGCATATTACTTAAAATTCAAGATTACAAGTAAATTGTGCATAAGTATAACTTATTAAAGCTTCATGTTTGAATTCGTGTAACTAACTGCAGATAAACATAATCTAAAGGATAAACATCTCATTTTAAATATAAAAAATCTAAAATATAATTACGATAATCATTGAATTCTAACAAAATACTTAATTATTATCGTTATAAAAAAATATATTATTAAACCGAAGATAAAAAAATAAATTAAAGAAATACACAAAAAAATAATAATTAAATAGTTAGTTTGATACTAATATCAATATTATTTTTTTTTCAATATTTTTATGATGTATTCATATTTATATCTTATTTAAAATAAATAACATTATCGTTTTCTCAAAACCATATAAAATCGTAATATAACATCGACTGAGACGAAAAAAAAAAACACAAAACATTAAAATCGAGATGTATCTCACTGCATTGTGCGAGTACCCTTCTAATGTTCTTTAATTGGTAATCTTTTTTTTGATTAACCTGGATATCTAACCCGTTATGCGAGCCGACTAATCCCAGGGCGATCACATGTTTTGCAGATAGCCCGGAATCACCGCATTTGAACCTCCGTGACCACAAGGGGATTTTTATTTCTTCTTGGATTTGAACTTAGGATCTCCTGGTACTTTTGACATTTGGAGTCAAGCTCAAACCAATCAGGCACCACCCTTGTGGTTTAATTGGTAATCTTAAAGTAAGATGTATGAATTTTCTTTAACTATTTATTAAAGAGAAAAGTCTAGAAAAAAACCAATGAAATTTCCCTTTTTTTAAATGATTAAACTTATTTTTTTAAATGATTAAGTCCACAAGCATCTAAGTAAATACTACATTGAATTTCTAAAAATTATTTACGTAACGTCTTTTTTAACCTAAAAATTTACTTACAACTGAATAGGAATATTTTAACATGAAAAATTAGTTCAATTTGAGGTAATATATTCAACTCAATCTTAGCGATTTTTACATCAGAAGCTTCGGTTTTAAGTTATTTATCGAAGTGAGTCAAAACCGAGCTCAAAAGCTTGAAAATTTGTAGCCATGAATAGTTTTGTTATTATTATTATTTAAAAAAAATTAGTTGTATGGAGTTGAGTTTAAACTCACGACCTCTATTTTGAATAATGATGTTTTACCACCAATCTAATAAGCTCTTTCGTCCTTTTAATGCACTGAAAGTTTATTATTATTACAGAAATTCGAGTTCAATAATGATAATTTTTCTAGAAATTTTAGAGAGGTCGTTGGACTTTATAAAACGTAAGTTCGAACCCATTTTAATATTTGGAGATTATTAAATTACCAAAATGCCCATAATTGCTGCTTTGGGACGTCGTCGAGTTGTAGACTTAAGGTATGACTAAAGTTAATCGAGTTTGACTGAGTTGACCTAGGGTTAACTTTTACCTCGTTTAATCCACAGGGATTTTAAAGATGAGATCAAATCGACATATTAAGATACTCAGGTTTCGAGTTTGACTTCAGGTTAGGTCAAGTTTGAAAACCATTGACTTTCGTTGACTTTTAGTTAAGTCAAATATTAGATACGGTGATAGGAACTGTGTAGATCTTTAGTCAAGAGCTATCAGTAGTCAAACTACATGGACAAGTGAGTTTTCATGAGACTTACAATGAGATGCATACCTATGTACAAATTATGTTGAGCATTATATGGTTTGTATGGTGATGTGGCGTATACATGATGTTTCAGTTCTCATACATGTTACGATATATTTTACATGTATATTGTTTATGACCAGTTGCATGCTTTATGTTTATTTTTTTCAAACAATTCTAACATGTCATTTCATACGACAATTTTCTGATCAGTTTTAAGGGATGAACATTTAACCAGTAAGTCAGGGACAAGTGGCACGACCCAAACAAGTGGGTGATTAAACAGAGCAGAAAATTCAACCCACGACGTGTAAATGACAAAATGACCTATACATGATCATAAAATTTATGGGATCTCATTTCTTTCAGTGTCTCATGTTTTAGAAAATGCATACTATTTGATACGAAGTTTACAAGTTGACATGTGAAATGTCAAATGATTGTATTCAAGTAAACCCTGAACTCACTGAGAATTTTAAGCTGATCTCAGTGACAAAAGGTTTAAGGTTAGAAAAAGGAAAAGGGCATGCATAGATACCTGTCCTGTTCATTAAGGTTCAATATTTATGTTTAGACATTTATGTTGGATAAA